TGGGAATCACAATAATTCATTTTTGTGTGGCTGATGAACCATAATTAGCCTTACTGAACCAACAGTAGTGGAGAGAAGCTGTATTACTGTACTTAATTAGTAGGTGAGCTGATTGGGATCAATCCCGACAGATACACATTCTCTCCATGTTGTGAAAGAAAGGGAGAAAAGAACAATCTCTAAATATATTAGAGTAGTCTCAAAAGGCTGCTCTTACCAAGGCTGGTTGTGGTGGTTCTGTTGGGACCCTTAGATCAGCTGTGCACCAGACAAGACAGACCAGACAGCCTCGACATCTAGCTAAATACCCGCCCTCTCCCCTTCCCACAGTCCCTGTCCTGGTAACAAGATGATGTGGCATCCCCCTTTGAGACTACTGGGACTGATATGACATTAGCAAAGTAAACAGGTTCTTCACTGACAGTGTTTTCAATATGCACCATCATATCCCAAAATCAACTTGTTTTGCTTATAAAATAAATATAAAATAATATCTACTTTATATATGATTATTTTTGGAGAATATTTCAACAATTTTCATTTAGTGGAAATAATTTTTCATTTAGTGGACATAATAATTTGTCACTCATTTTGATACAAACATCACAATTTATATGGTTAGACATACTCTTTGTACTGTAAGTATTGTACAAATAGGTATTTATCTAGTTTTGTGAACTAGTTAGATCTAGTTAATATGTTCAAGACATTTAGTAAATTATTGCTCCAACATTTTTACTTTAAACTGCAAGGAGAAAAGAAGTGCATTTTTATGGTAACATTTAATTTTTTTCCGAATTCCCATCAATTTGGCTTACTGGAAAGTGTTCATTATTATACCCAAATTTTTAATTACACGTCTCAGATGTGTACTTTTAATTAACAGATGACATTTTCTTTGCTCAATTATTGTAGTTCAATACAACTGTCATAAACTTATAAATTTTAATTAAAGCTGCCCCAATCTCTAGCTATATAATGATCACATAGGAATTTGCCAAAAGGCTTAGCAGTAAGTAAACCAACAGTGAATAATCCCTGAATTGCCAGTGGGATTTGTTTAACAAATTAACATTTGTGTGCAGATAATGAGGTTCTACAACTTAACACATCCAGGAAAGATTTAGCACAATCATGTTTTAAAAAATGAGTAATACTCTGCAATTTACTTAATTAGTTATCACATTACTATTCTATATCAGGTGGTGAAAGAGAACAGGATTTACACATATCACTAGAACAGACACATTCACTAGAAGAGTATTTCATATGCTGTGTCATTTTATTTATATCAGAATATGCCAAAAGGTTTGTTTTCAGGATATCTCTTCCTCACTTTCTGAGCTAGAAGCCAACAGTAAGGAAATTCCCTGACTCCTAGGGAAGCCTCCCAGCAGCGGGGACCCTGCAGAGGCTCATCTCCCTGCAAGGCTAAATTTACTGGCAGTCCCAAAGCTTTCCAAAGGGCACGCGTGTAGAATGACACTCGTCAGATCGGCTGCATCAAAGCTGTTTGAGTTGGATAATATACGAGAATTGATAAGGGCAATCGGAACTTCTAAGACAAGCAAGCTGAAATTACCCCAGGTCATTTATATTTTGTAGACAGGATTTGGGTTGGCACTAGCACACATATGGTTTCTGCAGCTTCCAGAGGAAAAAGCTTCATCATTTTGAACAAAAATATATTTTAAAAAAAGAGAAAATTGGGAAAACATGTGCAATGTGATTGCATCAGTTTAGCAGGACAGTTTGATGAGCCAATTGTATAATGGATCAAAAGTATAAACGCTGCTTTTTGAGGAAGTGCTTGTGAGCATTGTAGTACAGGAGGTGGTATGCACAGATAGCAACAGCACAGTAGGAGAAATTAAGATGATATTGAGCTGACTTTATTTTAAAATAGTAATTTTATACTTTCCAGAAATGCAAGAGAATTCTCTACTAAAAAAAAAAAGTGTGCAATGTACCTATTGCTAGCGGACAAGTCAACCTGGTAGGACATAATATTTTAAATCTAGACACAATATAATGCTTAAGTTTTACAACTATTAAGGAAAAACAGAGCAATTCCTGGTAATAAAGAACCTTTATATTCCTACATGATGCAATGTGCAAGAATAAAGTAACATATACACTAATGACTCTCATATGAACCTGACAAAGCAGATCAACTCTGCCTTGAAGGATGAGACAATGAGAAGCAAGTGAGTGAACGCTGCTCTGGTCTGGATGGCACACCCTCAGTCCAAACTGGCAATGGTGTGTGCAGAGCCCAAAACTAAATGTGCACTCACCAATGCCATGACTGAATGACATGCTTTGCACAGTGGTATATTTGACTGGAAAGAGGAAACAGTTGTTGCAAAAACACTTGAGGAATTAAGCTTTGTTGCCTTAATTACAGTTTTCAATGCTTTTGGGTGTCCAGTTTAGCTTCCCTCTGTAAGATACATAATGGCTTTAGTATACTATGGATTAGATTGAACTAGGATAAGGGGACATCTCACTGACATGCTAGTTTGTTTCAGTAACACACAATTTATGGTCTGATACAGATAAAAAATACAGTCTGATAAGAAATAGAGATTTCTTCTTAATAGAATATTTATAGGGTCCAGGGGCTAGGCATGCAAGGAAGATGAGATGCGGATCAATTCAAAAATTTTATCTGGAATGCTGGATGGAGTCACTTTGATTTAGAAAGATATACGGTCATTTTTCCACATCTCCAGCACATGAAAGTTATGGCACAGGCTTCAAGGCACGGCTACCCTCATGAATTGGAAATGGCAGATAGGAAATCTAGTTAACTTGAAATATGATGATTAAAAATTCGATGAAACTGGGAAAGTGGACACACCACAGCAGAAGATATTCCTATTAGCAGGTATGCCCAGTAAGAGTCATCAGAACCAGCTCTGTGTTGGTCTTGGCTCATAAAGGCTTGGCACACTTTGGCCATGTGTAGTACAGTAAACTTTAGTTACAGTTAAAGGTCCAGATTCCCAAAAATCAGGCAATTGAACAATGAAATGTGGACTGTGGTGACATCCATGCTGGCTCTCCTGATGCATTTCTGGTGCAGACACATTATCCTGTTTGAGACCAAGCAGAAATAAGGCTAATGCCTGCATCTGCAGGCCCTCTGTAGCAGCTGGGGCCATGATTAACAATTTAGCAGAAGTATATTGTAGAATCTGCTCATATCTCTCCTTTACTCACTGGTGACCAAACCTACTACACTAATTATTTCAGCAAGGCTGAGAGATTTCAGAGGCTGGATTTAGCAGGGGAAAAAAAAAATATCCAGGCAATAGCATAGCTGTGTGAGCACAGCAAGTGTTAGCTGCCTGGTAAAGAAAACACGAGCTGCTGGAGGTGAGTGAGCCCTATGGCTACTGCCAAAAGAAAAGGATTAAATAAAATCCTGGGGTCTCTGCAGGATTCAGAACTGAGCTGAGTTCTAGCAGCTGAGTTATTAATTTTACAAAGCCTTTTAACCCCACAAAAGTATCAATTAAATGCCAGACATGTAAAGATGTGGGAGTAAAACATCCTCTCTTCTGCACGTCAAGGAAGTTCTGCACGCCATTTAAATCCCCCGTGAATTATTTCATTCACTTGCATGTCCTCACTAAACATGTATTGATCTCACTACATTGAGAAAAATCTCTGCTTATCATTTGTGTCAGTAGTTCCATCAGCTGTTATAAGCAGTTTCAAGTATAATTAATCAACTTCAAGTTAAAGGATTCTCATTTTCTAATATTTAGCCATTATCAGTGATGTTAACTATAAACAACATTATTAATCCTCAAGTACTCAGAACCAAAAAATCCTCTGGCACACAACAGATTGTTAGGTTTGCATTCACTTGGATTTTTGCCACCACATCTCAGTAAGAGGAGGCTCCAGAGAAGCCAGCATAGTAAGTGAAGCTAAATTACCAAACTATATAAGCTAAAGTTAATTAGTAAGGAGTGCGGAGGAAAACATTGCGATCTAAGCCCCCTCTACCACAGAGACATAATGCTGCATTACAGGGAGTGCACTGTTTGCGCTAAACAGTCACAAACTCCTCTTCTACAGTCCAGTACTGTACTTTTCTTTCAGAGACCAGGATGTTGGTCATTTCATCACGTAGGAGAAAATTATTTACCCACCTTCAGCAGCTGATGGGCTTCTGAGAAGAGACAAGACAGCAAACTCTTCTCCAGCTGTTCTACTTTGAATCAAATATTTAAATATTCCTCCGAGCAGAAAATAGAATTCAACTTCTCCTTTCTCACATAATTACTAAATTTTAGAGTACTTCTTATCACACTTTCCCTCTCTAGCCCAAACACTAATTGCATTATACAAGCTACAACAGCCTAAGTGTTAGGGACAAAGATCAACTGCCAAATACCCACGTTTTGACACATAGGATAATCTCCCTGAAGATAAGAGATGTGATTTCAAATTCCTTCAGGAAAACAAAGGATCTCAATTCTGATCAAACAAATCTTCCTGAGAATTAGATGAGTAAAATGCCTAGTTTGTGAATTCCAGTAAGACACAGGTAAAAGATTGAGGTCACACAACTCTGTAGTTTAAGGAAATATCTCTGTGTGGGCACCTAAAAATTTAGAGGGAGAATTGAGATAAAGAGAGAACAAGATGTGTGGGGTTCTTCCAGATGTAGTTTGACTGAACCTTACGCTTTACAATTCCATTTCTACACCTCGACATGTGCGTCTTTATACTGAATACTTACTTCCATGCTCCCTTTTGTGGGATGCAGCTTAATTCTGCTAAAACACCAAGATACGTGAATGAAAAGCACTATTGATTATAAAGTATATGTATGGTATATACTGCTATATTGAACATAGTTCAAGTAAGGACAAAGCAAATAAGTTACAAAGAGCAAAAAAAAATCACAAACAAGGAATAAATTCAAACATTTAAATTAAGGCAGGTATAATAATAAGATACAGCTGCTCAGAAATACTTACCAAGGAGAGAGGCTCCACAGGTTCCTCCATTCTGGCAGTAATTGTGGCAATGGTTAGTTTCACACCTTTCACCAGAGTAACTTGGCCAGCAGTGACATCGGGGATCCCCCTTCTCATTTATAATGCACTTTCCTCCATTTTCACAGGTTAATTTACAGGTATCATCTGCAGCAAGAGCACACACAGAGTCGTTTTCAACAATCCCATTTCACATAACTGGCAAAACAGAACCTTGCATCTTAAATAGAGCTACGATCCCTGTCAATGAGGAGGAAAAAATCACTTTTCAAAATAGAGAAAGTAAACTATCACTTCTGTGCTAGAAAAAAATACACCCTTAGGAGACTGTAAGTCATCACTAAGAGCTGCAGAGTTGGTGGGGGCTGCAGTAGCCTGTAAAGCAGGTCTGTGAGCTTGTACCGTACCGAGCTGGGGGCCTGTGCCTGGCAGTTATGCTTTGTCCAAATGAGGCCACAGGGAAGTTGACCTCCTTAGGACGTAAGTTAGTAATGACAGTATGGGTTCTTACATGAAGCTATCATTTCTAGTTAGTTTAAGAAATGAAAAAATGAGAGTTGGTTTCACCTGGGGGATCTCGGAAAACTTCCCAGTCATTTTCTGGTGACCTCAGCCTATTTGATTTTTTTGATCTCTCCTCCACTCTCTCTATTAACTAACAACCTTCTTAACTAAACTTTATCCAAAATATTTATAAGAAAATTATTCAGCCTTTAAATCCTCATAAAAAAATTGATGATTGCATACTAACTTGTTACTGCTAAACCATATTCTCTGATTTATTCTTTTTCTCATCTGTTCAGTCTGTAAAATCACTGAGAAGAGATACTGCTTGCTGCTCTGCATTCACCGAGTGCTTATGGCAGTAGTGCCACCGTCTTAGTGGTGAGGTACGAGGTGTCACAAATTCTGATTAGGCCAGATTCAATCTTTCTATAAAGCTGTTTTGCAATTAGAGTTGTGCCTGTCTTGGAAACACTTTGAAAAATAAATCTCTATTCATTTCAGTGAACAAGATATAAAATCATTCAATGACACCAACAAGAAATTAATTATAGACTACATGCATACAATGCTCAAACATCCAAATAATTGTAATCCTAAAGAAACAGACAAGGACCTTTCCAGCCCAAAACATGCTTTCAGCAATAAGACCTTTCATTTCTCGCATAGCAAAACAAATCTTGTGAAGCCAGACTGCTGCCTAACTAATCCAGCATTTGAACCTACATGGCTTTTAACAAGAGGGATACCACAAACACTGAAAACTCTTCAGTAATATATCCACCAGTCACAGATGTTTTGCTGAATTAATCTGTTTTAGTTGAACAACTAATGAAAAAGAGTCAAGGTTCCCTTTTGTCCTACTTAGGTCTAACATGGACTGACACAGGCACACCACCTCCTTTTTTTGAAGTTTAAACAAATACATTGCGTTATAAGTGCAGAATTCAGGAATGACAGATATCCTCTAGCTAGAATAGTTCTCTCCAGCATGGACTCTGCAAAGTTCAGTAATATAACTGTGCTTATGCAGCATCTTTTCTTTGGATGCACCCAAGTCTCTCTTTCCTGCCTGGGTAGACTCCCCCTCGGCAGGGTCTGGCTGTCTCCGTTCACGGCCAGTGCTGAGATGGTGCAGACAGGTAATCTGGGCTCAAACCTACGTAAACAAAACTTCTGGGAACTGATTGTCTTTCAGGCAATGACACCTCTCTCAAATGAAGCTGAAACTAGACAACAAATCTAAAAGTTATTGTGGGGGACTGACTAGCACATCATTATTTCAGGTGTTTACAATAAAAATATGAAATACCACATGCTCTTAATTTTTTGGTATATATACATCTGCTGTAACAAAGCTACTTTGTATTTGGGAGTTTGAGGATGCCTCAGTGTTTTATTTATTTGAGTGGTCCATTAAATCCTTTGACGTTCCATGAACCATTCTTCAGTTACTCATTATAGAAGTTGTTTAAATAGATAATGTAGCATATCTTATTGGAGAGAAGGTCTATTCTTGTTTTGCTTATCTTATCTGTTTTACTTATCATTAGTCATGAGTTTATAGAGCAGAACTTGGTAAAAACGGAATAAATAACACTGAAATACAGACAAGTGCTCAATTTTATGAACCTTTCTGATAGCACATTAAAAACATGTTATATATATCTTCTAGAGGAATTCTGCAGAATGAAGATATAAAATTTGAAAAAAAAAAAAGGAAATTAAGACAGACTATGAATTAAAGAGAAAAATAGAGTATCAAAAGGCATATTTAGAACTATAAAACTTGAACTACAAGTTTGAAAGTTACCCAACCACACCAAGAAATACATGCTTTCATATTTTCAGGAAAATGTACTGAGCCAAAAACGGTCAACTGAGAAGGTTCCTGAAAAAACATAAAAGGTTGTAATATCTTGTATCGTCACAGGTTTATTAAAATTCGCTCCTGATTTTGTTCTCTATAAAACATTTTAAATTTAAATAAGAGTTTCAACACAAATCTAACATGAAACAGAGAAAAGCTACTAGAACAATTTTGGACTTTAAATAAGCTAAGAAATAGGATTGAAAGATGTAATGGATAAACCCATTTTAAAACACTATGTTAGACTTTAACAATATAGAGGTTTTAATGCTACTGCTTTGTTCTCTGAAGGTAAATACAAGAATCAAATTACTCTTGCTGATTCACATCAACTGAGTACAAAAGGAGATCAGATGCCTTTGTGTGGGAGACAGGAGCAGAATGGTCCCATAGGAGAAGACAGGAAGAAAAAGAATACAGGAGAGAAACACAGAAGAATTGTTACAAAAAGCCGAATACTCTTAATTTAAATTACTGAATAAAGACCTCTGTAAGAAGAGCTGAAAACAGCTCTAGTAAGTACCCACTATTGGAACAAAGTTTAAAAAACAAAACAAAACAAAAAATCAGAAAAGTTTCTATCTGGAGTCAATTCAATTCTTGTCTGAGCTTGCTGGAATTCAGACTTAAAGACCTCTCAGCTGCTCTTTTCACTTCTGAAATGATAGAAGTAAATTATTTCACTTGTTATACTACTCCTACTCTAGCTACTGGATCTCTCTAACGTGAAAGAAAGGAAAGGGTTATAGGTCATGTAATTTTATATATTCTCTCCTAACCTGGTTATTTAGTCTTCTGCTGCCTTGATTTGCCTATTTCAATAGGCAAATATATTTTTAATAAAGAATCAAATAACTTTGATTTGCAGTCTTTATGTTTTTCTTCCTGATATGACTGTTTGACACAAACATTAATGGACTTACGGCTTATTTGCTCCACCTTTGACTCTTTCCTTTATCTGAAAGTATAAGGAAAATCTTACACAGAAGAAAAACTGACAAGGCAGCAAAACAGAGCTTTGTGAACTCTACTGGTATTTTTTCCTTCACTTGTTCAATTTTTTGATATTCCATCCCTCTCCCCCAATCACACACACACACGTCTTTCATTGGCATTTCTGTAACAACCCTTTCTTTCTTGAGAAAAATGCATCTTACTTTCTGCTATTTTTTTCCCTTTAAAATAACCACTGATTTCTGGACTAGGCAGTTAAACAGAGAGATGACGCTATGGAGCACAAGGTTAATGAACTACATTCTTTGGGACAAGAACAATTTCCCTCCCTCCCCACAGTGGAAAACACTCATCTCATGGGGCAGAAAGGTATTTGTTCTTCCCTATCCTTCAGACAAGGGTGTAGTTCATCCTTTACTGAGCTGAATGCACCTATTAAAGACAGAGTGCAGAGTCCTAATGTTACGGTAAGGTTATATAAATCTTCCTGTCCCTCCAGATGAGGGTCTTACTATCTGCCAGTTTTCCATATGCTGAAATTCATCAGACCAATTTGTAATCCCCAACTTTTGTCTGAATGCTGTAAGACAGATCCTCCTCTTTGTTTTCCCTTCACTTTGGTGTTTTTTTTTTTAAAATCTGTTTGCTTTACAATTTTAAATGGAAGAGAAGGGCTAAGAAAATGATGCACAGTGAGAAAAAACTAACCAACACCTGCTGTAATGTAACCCGTTTCCTTCTGTTCTGGGAAATACCAGTCCCAACGGTAACCCCTTTGTAAATACAGAAGATACTGCTGTAAACAAAAGATTTTTTTCAAATCAGAAGCAGATTTCTGTGTGACCCTTATTCTATTTGATATCCAAAAAGACTGAAAACAGAACAAAACCCAAGATAGCATGGACTGAACTGCCATAGCTTTTGCTACTACAGCTCCCTGAGGCAGATTTTGTGGGTGAAAAAGAAGATATATAGGGATTAAGCTCTACATCCCCAGCCAAAGCACTTGGTCTGCCTGCAATCTATGTGTGCAGTGGGCAAGTCCCCACAGACATGTGCTGAAGGAAACACCATAAATAAATTAAATGTTTCATCTCTGTTCAGAAGCACTATCAGATCTCAGTCTTCGTAATTTTTCTCAGGCTTTTCATCCAGCCAAGAGACCACAAATATTCCCTTCTTAAAATGAAAGTGATAAGCGTGCAGCTCCAGAATACAGAACTCTTGGAAGTGTTCATTACTCTTGCTCATTCAGCTCTGGTACACACTGTCTTCCTCCAGTGCAAGTCTCTGTATTTTTATTCTCTTGGTACGTTTTTAGCTTCATTGTGCAACAGTTAGATACAATAAACCTAATGGATGCAAATCCAGTGGTCTCTTTTAGGAAAATGAAGTGGTACTCTACCATTTGAAAACTAAAGGGTAGCTTCTAAACTGAAAAAGTCAGGCCTGTTATAGTGAATAAATAAACCACAAAAGAACTGTGCTCTGTCAATCATAATCATCTAGGGAGAAATGAGATGGAAGCTTATCTAAGAACACACAGGAATTCGATTTCATTTTGTTATAAAAACTTTCTGAATGATACAACACACATATGTTGCAATAACTCCGGCTTGAAAAAGCCAAATCAAACCAAAAGCTTTCTCATCAGTTGTGTGAGATGCTGGTGAAACAGCTGTCTGAAGCAATCTGGATTCAGTCTTACAGAAAGCCACTGAGGATTCAATATTTAGAATTCCTCACGTAGGACTTATGAAGAAAAATCAACTCAATGGATCAAGCCAGTAGTAATATTATGCAGAATTTCAAGACTTAGCTCAATTTTCTTTTGTTAAAAAAAAAAAAAAAAAACTAAACAAAAAACCAAAAATCCAATGAACAAGAATCTGAGTCAGTTTTTGGGATATAGCCACAAGAAGCAGAGCAAGACTGAGATTACCTCCCAGTCACCAACCTTAAGATAGACTGACTACTAAGAAACTGTACGAAGCATGCAAGGCATCTTTACAATAGTCATGCCAAAAACTGCCAAAATGAAGAATGGCATAATAATGTTGAAAATAATCATTATTTGTTGGAAGGCGTTTTTCACAAGGATAGAGACATATGCATTGTCAAAACAGAATCTTCAAACACAGACTCTCCTGGGGGCACTATTCAAGATGGACGGGAACTGGAGATGGCTGTCCCATTTTGACTCTGTCAAGTCAGGGAAATCTACTACTAGCTTCCTTACTACATTTTAAAAGACCCAAAACACTTAAAGACACTAAAAAGTATTATGAATGTTCAATATACTACTGTTTACTATTGTAAATTGGATTATATATTATTCAAAAAGTACAGTTTAGTCACATTAGTTCTTGATATCCACAATTACCACTAATTTGTGAAACTAAGACTTTTTACATGACTTGAAATAGCTACTGTGCAAGTACAAAACAACTAGTACACCTCACTTCTATTGCTACATGAATGACGTCCACTAAAAGAGACTTAAAAAGTTGAGTTTTCAGATCTGTAAATTAGTGGTAGCATATTTTTGAACATATAAAATATAATGTACGTAAATCATTGTAACCTATCTACTATACAACTATTGCATTGTGATCAAACCAGTAGCAAAACCAAATGCATACATCAGTTAAAAAGTGTTTCACAGATACTCATGTCTCAAATGAAAATCTTCTGGATTTGATTCTTTTAGGGACAAACCATAAGACCACCAAAATCAACAGGAATATTTCAACTGACTTTGCATCTTGATTTTATTGCAGACCAACAAAAAAATATGACTATATAACCTCCCTTTGGATTAATGTCAGGTCACTCTTCTACAATATACAGGTTTTGAGAGCCATGCAAGGCAGGAATTGATGTTTTGGGTTACTGACATCCATAACTATGCCAAAAATGCTCTGAGACAAGAAAGACAATATAATGCTAGATTTAAACAAGCTGATGTATGCAGTTTGGAATATTTCATATACATTTTCTAGCTCTTCATCAGAAAAGGAAAGGAAGACTACGGCTCCTAATTTTTTTATTCCATAGTGTATAATTCCTAAAGGAAAAGAACCTGGTTTAGAACTTGACTTGTCCTTTGCAGGCTATTAGCGACCTATTAACGGCAAGTGGGTTGTCAGCCAGCCATTAATTATAAACCTGTATTAATTCAAGATGCTGATCTTGAGGTCAACTCTGATCTTTCCAGGAATCTCTGCTGTTTCTTGGAAGCCTAAGTGGAGTGTCAGTATGAGACAAACATTTAACATCCACTTCATACTTTTTTTAAAAAGTCAAAAGAGTGCAAAAACATACACTTGTTAGTGTGCTATGATACTGAGGCTTGTTTCAATTCATAATTTATAACCTGTGAGGCTACAAAACCTGCAATCTACTATTACAAAAATAACATAGAAGAAAAAATGTACAAAAAAGCCTACGCTAGACATTACTTGAAATATAATTGTAATCAGAAAACTAAGAAACACTTACTCAGCAGCCCTTTAAAAAGGCATAAGAGATATTGCAGTTGTGGGAAGATACTGAAAATTATCAATATATTAAAAATGCTTCTCTAGGCATTTTCTGTCTATCCATAAAAATTTACAACCAGCAGTGAAATAATTTAAAAGCCTCTTCAGATCTTTCTTTAATAAAAACATACCTTCCTGCAAACTCTACCATGGCATAATCTTTTGCCCCACTAGTAAAACTGTAGCATTACTGAAATTACGGGTTCAAATTACTACCAATCACCAATATTCTTTTATTTGTCTTTTCTTCAACACCTAATTAGTAACTATGGATCATCTGAAATAATTTTTAGGTGGTACTGTATCAGCAGAAAATCTTGACAAATATCCCTCTCAGATGAACAAAGAGCTGACACTTGGAGGGGCAGGGAGGGTGGATGCTCTCTGAAGACAAAAGGTGTTTAGACTGATTTGTCTCAAGAGTTAGAAACCTTGTACAGTATACTAATGCTTTCTATTACATCTACTTCAATGACATCACTTCTCCCCTAACAGGGGAAACTGTTGTAAAACAGCTGTAAACTACTTTATAGTTGTATAACTATTATATAAATACACATTGATAGGTATTCAGCCAAGGGTGTACAGTAATAAAGCTTTCATTTACTGTATTTTTGCTAGAGCATGGTGTAGTACATATAAAAGTTGGTACTGTAAATGCATTGCATACAATGTACTCCTACATAAGCAAAAAAACATTAATGGGTTTGTTATCTAGGACAAGTTTTCTAATATTATTTTACTCTCTAAATTATTCTTAAATTTCTTGATTCAGAAAGAGAAATGCTGCTAGACAGGATAGCTTTATTAATACCACATCATAAACCACTAAAACACAGTTGTGTTAATTCAATATTTAAGGACTAGGCAGTATAAATAGGTGAGATTTTCTCCGCAGAATGATGACATTTCAGGTAAATTAATTTAATTGCTAAATTGAACATTTTAAGTACTGATCATCTCACCAAAATACGTATCGCTTACGCTTCTGAGCCTGGAATTAAACACATCCTAATACATTCTGACTTCTTATACACATAAGAAATCCTTCTATGATTTCTAGAACCTTTTAAAATTCAAGCTGGCTAAGAATTCTTCTGGCAGTCTGACCACCTTAGGTTTGGCCTCAATTAGAGTGGGAATAGTTTTAGATTACTTAATAATATTCTTCTGTGGAAAAGAAGATTTTTTTTTTCCCCCTAAAATATAGCAAGAACTCAGGAGCTCTTTTACCATGAAGTCTGGTTTCCTGTGTCTTCATATTAGTCATTACAGATGTTACTGAAAGATATAATTTTAGATGAAAATATTTCAGCAGTTTTGTTCTTTTTTGCCTGTCACTTCAAATTCATTATTATTTGCTATGTTGCTCTTACTGCCTTTTGATTGCAGTCAAGCAGAGGTGTTTCTTGATTGTCTTTAAGGTTATTTTTTTTCTCACGAATGGCTAATGTTTAAATCGGAATCCAAAACGCTTCAGAGATTTTCAAACTTCTTTTGGTCAATACATATACATATTCACTTTTAAATATCATCTTGTATCAATTCAGCTGAAAGCTTATTTTTCATTTTGATGAATATAAACAGTTTTTTTGAATCAGGGATTTTGCTTCTTCATATTTCGTTTCCATTTCAGATAAGTAACATGTATATTGAACAACATCACAGAACTCTTGACTCTCAGACAGCCTAGCCTTTTGCAATGACAAAAACTGACCAGTTGCTTACTTTCTGGTTCTCATGCAGTTTTCAATACCTACCTAAGAGGCTCTGGTCAACACATGTTCCATTCACCAATGATTTTCCTTCTGGACAAGCACATGTTGCACCAGAAGGGTTGAGTAAGCAAATGAATTCACATGTCAGGTCCAAGCATGGATTAGGCACTGTTTAAAAAGACAAAATATTAAAAATACTTATTTTTTTAAAAATTACACGGTGTTCTAGAACTAGGAAAAAATAAATAATCAGATATAAAAATTCTGATACCCTTCCACTTTCCAGGATATTAACAGCCTGAAGTCAGTGAACACGCTCATTCAAATGCAAGTGCAAGACTCACACCAGGATAGAATTTATTCCAGTAACAAAAAGTGTACTGGTAATATGCAGTAAAAAACCTCATCTGGTTGTGGCTAGAGGTATTTGTATTCAGCTCTCTTCTAATTTTTTTAAACTTCATTTACAGTGCGGGTACACAAGGCAAGCACTTGTCCAATGTCCTTTCAAATGAGAGAAAATGCTTCAAAAAATCTAAATCAAACTTATATAAATAAATATGACTAAATCTATTCCAGATGACACCAAGTTGGGCGGGAGT